TGTATGTCTGTATAAATAGTAGCTTGTTTTTTCTCAAGTTTTAAAACACTAGCTATAAAAGCTACTAGTTAGTTAAAAAATGGTTAGCTCAAATTTAAAATTAACTAAAGTTTAGCAAAGATGGAAAAAAAAATACATGAATATCTGTCACGCAAACGTTGAATCGGTGTTTCCATATTAACATTAATAAGGGCTAAAAAAAAAAAAAAAAACTTATTTCCGCTCACTTCCGGTTTTCAGGGGCGTGTCTATAGCCACGCCCAGTTGCGCGCTCCCGGGAGTTTCCGTTTCTTTTTCTTCGGCGGGTGTCAGTGTGAGTTCAGCACTGCGGCGTCATTGTGCTCGGAGGGAATCGCGCGGTCAGCAGCTCCCTCGGCTTCTCGGCGGACTCGGTAAGCTGACATGTTTCGCGAAGCTTGTTCAGACGCTTTGTCACGAGCCCTGCCTCGTGTTTTAGTCCAGTTCTGTGTTGAACTTCAGCGCTTTCCGCGTGAACTTGTGAAAGGCATGATGGCGGTGCGGCTCTGCTGCAGCCCCCGGGCTTTAATTGTTTCTGTCTGCTCCGCGCCACTCCCCGCCGGACGAGTGCTAACGTCTCCTTTTGTCTTATTCCACCAGAACACTCCACTTTAACATATTTGACGCTCAATTTAAAAAAAATAAATAAAGTAATGTAGATATAAGCTCCCAGTTTTTTTAATTTAAAACAAAGAGGCGACTATCGCCATTTTTTTGTTGAACAAATCAGCGACACTAGTGTTAATAATTACACCAATTGTTCAACTTCACACTAGTTTCAGCTGCTGTTTTTATTAGTTTGGTAAATTTCAGTTTCATAGTTAAGTTGTGACTTGGTTGCAACACTTCCTCTTTTTTTTTTTTTTTTTACTGAAATTTATTTCCCCTATTTGTTAATAAATCAGCGTTTGGCGTCTAAAATGTCGCATTTAACCCATGAAGGTTGCTAGTTTTTAAATTTTTTATTTAAGTTTTAATTTTTGTCAACTCCTCATTTTATCTCGTTTTATATGAATGTTTCTCAGTTTATCACCATACAAGGTTACAATTAAGCCCGTCTCGTTATTATACCAAGAGATTATTGTCCCACTTTTAAATGTAATTTTGAATAAAATACATTTTGCTTCCAACTTGTGCAGAGTTGCAAAAACTTCCATTGAACCAAAATCGTTGCTTAAACTTGGATACAATGTCTTAAATCCTACACATTCATAATGCCTTGGAAATGTATATTTTTATATACACAATCAATTAATTTCCTAATTGTCTGCATAAACTTGGATGTTGAGTAACTTCCTATTTGAGACTTTGACCACAATCCAGATGGCCTTTTATTTTTAGCTACTGAAAGTGCTTACACTTTTGTCTTTGTATAAAGAACTGACTAAACAACTATTTAGTCAAATTTTATGTAGCAATGTTAAAACATAGCTCCTTCTCCGGGACGATTAATTTGATAATTCCAGTCATTTCTGGTCTAATTATTATTTTGTTGTTTAATTGTCTACTTAAGGTGGTGTGTAAGTTTGGACTTTAAAACCAGGCATGGATGCAGAGAAGAGTGAAGTATCAGAAACTCTAAAGCAGGAGGAGGTAAAGGTGGACTCGGCAGAGCCTGAGAATCCTCCAGCTGTCGTGGAAGAGGCCGAGCTGCAGGAGGTGAGCGGTCAGGCTGCGGAGGGGGTAAGCACAAAAATGGAAGAGCCAGTGGTGACGGCTGAAGACCAATCAAACAAGGAGCCAGAGCCCAGTGCGGTGGCACCACCAGAATCTGCCGAGTCACCAAAAAAGGTTTCCGACCCAGTTGCTAATTTAGACGCACAACCAGAAAGCACTGAACCTGTGCCAGAGAATGAGCCAGAGCCTGTACAGACACACCAGGCAGAGGGTGCCCCTGAACCAGAGAAAGCAGCAGAACTGGTTCCAGAAGCTGCACCAGAGGAGAAGCCGTTGCCTGTGCCAGCCATGGAGGAGCATTCAGCTGAAACCAAGCCGCCGATCCTGGAGGAGAAGGCATCGGAGCAAGCGAAGGCCGAGGGTGAACTGCACACTCCAACTGAAGCCGAGACTGTAAAACGGGAAGCGGTGCAACCTGTGCAGGAGAAAGTTGTTTCCCCAGAGAAGCCAGTAGAAGCGGCAACGGTGAAGGAATCGTCAGCTGAACTTGGAAGTGGAGAACCCGCCAAGGATCAGAAAGGAGATCAGTCTGAGTCCGAGCAGAAAGATTCTGAGCCTCCAAGGGAAGGAAACGTGCTCCCTGCTTCTGGCTCTCTGTCTTTTGCCATTTTAGAACAAGAAGACGCCAAAGATGCCCTGAGGACCTCCCGCACCCTCGTAGTCCTCAGAGGCCTTCCAGGAAGTGGTAAGAGCTTCTTGGCGCGTGCCATCGCAGACGCCTACAAAGACCAGTGTTCTCTCTTCTGCGCTGACGACCATGGTATAAAACCAGAAAATCCAAAGGCATCTGCTGATGGGTACAAAGCTCTAGATGCCGCCATCGTAGCCCGCTGCAGTGAAGGGACGACCTCTGTCCTGGTAGTCGTGGATGACACCAACCACACCCACGACCGGCTGGCTTGCCTGGGGGAGATTGCCAAGGAGCACAATCTTATCACCCTCTTCTTGGAGCCACAAACTGAGTGGAGCCGAGACTTGACTCAGCTGAAAAAGAAGAGCGGCCGGGGACTGGAGGAGGCCCAGCTGGAAGCAATGAAAGGTCCACTTGAAGAAACGTCCCTTCCTCTCTTCTTCGGCTGGTTTCTCTTACCGTCGGTGCAGGAAAAGGTTAAGTGCACAGCCATGGACTTCCTGAAAATGTTGGACACTTTGGATGAATTCAAGAACCACCTGGCTGACTGTGAGTGTCACTCCAAACAGATTTCTGTTGGTCAAATAAAATGTTTTCATGTTCTAAGGTTGGGCTTGTCTTGATTAGTCACAGGGAAAGCTGAGAAAGAGGTGGACCTGGAGCAGTACTTTGATGCCAAGCAAAGCCTCCATTGCACTACAAAATTCTGCAACTATGGAAAAGCTAATGGTGCCAAAGAGTACGCAGAGAATTCAGTAAGAGACTAAATGCCGAGTCTGCATTACTTTCCTGTTATTTCTCTTAAAGATTGAAAATTTGTATATTTCAATTTTAATTTCATTTTTTCTTCACGTTCTAGGCGGTTCTCGGGTCTTACGGTTCTGTGCTCGAGTTGTCCCTGATCGCTCTCTTCATCACTCCTCGCACCGTTGGTGCCAGGGTGTCCCTCACCGAGGAGCAGCTTCGGCTTTGGCCGGCCGACGGCGAGAAGGAAGTGGAGTCCGTCGTCCCCGAAGCCGCCTCTCTGCCTCCTGGAAGCCGCGCCCACGTTACTCTAGGCTGCGCCGAGGGCGTCGAGTCCGTTCAGACGGGCGTAGATCTGCTCCAAATCCTGGCCCTGCAGCAAGCGGAAGCGGTGAAGGAGATGGAGCTGGGCTCGCTGAGGTATTACGGCGAAGGAAGGTGGCTGCTGGATCTGAAGGAGCCCATCGGAGCCCGGTCGTGCTTCTCCAGCTTCTACGGACCCAAGGAGGTCAAGCCAACCAAAAAGGAGCACGAGAAGAAAAAGAAGCACAAATGTGCCATTCTGTAGATCCGCATGTGACGTGTGGTGCATTAAAGCTTAGGCTTTTCTCCAAGGTTTGTGTGTTTGTGCAGCGTTTAGGGTTTCAGTTATAGCCAGCCTAAATCCACAAGCGGTGTGCCTTTTTAACATTAATTTGCACCACAACCTAAGATGCCTTTGAGTTGTCAGTATGGTTCGGTTCTGTTCTCAGTAAAAGTTGCATGAGGTGCCAAATTTTTTTTATTTTTTTTGCGTTCCATAACCTACAGTTCCATTCATCTAAAACTTGTACTCCATCTTCTGCACAGACGTGTTTCTCAGTGTTCAGTGAAACTAGGTACTTCTACTGCATGCATTCCTGTTTAACTATAACGCATAACTAATCTGCAAAATGTGTCTCTGTGCAACAGTTTCTCCTGTCGGGTTTACTTCTCCAGTTCTGACCAGTCCATGTTTAGGAGGTGATGGCGTGTGGGCCCAAGTTCTGTTAGAATGAATGTCATTTGTAGAGATCCTTCCTTGGTGACTCTCTGCCTCGTGCATAGATCAAGAGGGAGAATGCTGAATATTTTGGCATTTGTTTTTGAAGCTTGCACTTAGTACTTATGAAATGCTGTGAATCTATAATTCCATGTTTTGCAATCTTTTTTTTTTTTTTTTTTACTGCGTAATCCTTTAAAGAGTACCATGTTTGTATCTCGTAGCTGTAATTTTTGTACTACTTACTGTAGCTCATAAGAATCACTATTTTTGCACTCGTTTGTACACTTGATAAAAATAAAATGCTTTTGCGCCATTAATCTGCTTTTTGTGCCTTTCTTTTTTTTTTTTTTTTTTATCTGCACGGTTTGGTTGTTTACATGTGCGTGTTAAAATTAGAATATCATTAATGTCAAATCATTTCAGAAAGTGAAACATTTATTGGATTCATTACACAAAGTTAAATATTTCAAGCCTTTATTGCTTTTAATTTTGATGATTATGGATTACAAATAACGAAAAAACAAAATTCAGTGTCAAAAAATATTAACAGGTTCAATATTAAGGTGGGGTGATCAGCTGATCAACTCCCAGACACGAGCTACTGGTTTTAAATGTCGTTCCTCAAGTAGAGCCACTCCTGAACCAGAGATGTCAGTATCTTACCTGGCCCAGGAGAAGAACTGGACTTGCTCAGTGATCCAAGTACATGTTCATGTCATTTGTAAATCAAGGTCCCAGAAACCACGTTGCTTAAAGTCCAGACTGAAGCTTCAACAGTCGGTGATGGTTTGGGTCCGTGTCCACGGTGTTTTCTGAAATCCTGAGTCAACGCAGCATCCATCAGGACATTTTAGAGACGTCATGCTTCTTTCTGCTGAAAACCTTTATGGAGATGCTGAGTTCATGTTCCAGCAGGACTTGGCACCTGCCCACATCGCCAAAGGTCTGTGGAATATTTGATTTGTTTTTTTGGGGTTTTTTTGAGTCACTGGATTTTAGTTTTTATATTTGTAAGCCAGAATCATCAAAAGTATAATGAATAAAGGCTTGAAATATTTCACTCTGTGTAATGAATCTATAACGAGTCTTTCTGAAATAGTAAAAGAACATTTTCACAATATTCTCATGTTTTTAGATGCACTGCTCAAATCATGCACTTGTAATTGACACAAAGAACCTGCAGGTGGCCCTGTCAGATTGGTGCTGTGGGAAAGACATTTTTCAGATTGAATCCAGAACCTTCCTTCAGTTGATGTGCATCTTCATCTTAAGCATCTTATACAGTCGTATATTTGGGGTGTTCCCTCTTTAGGGGTCGCCACAGCGAGTCATCGTACTCCAACTACCTCCACGTCCTCTCTAACTGCATCCATATATCTGTCTTTTTCCTGCAGCTGCATTTCTAACATCCACTGTCCCTCCTCTGGACATGTCCAAACCATCTCAGTGTGTCCTCTCTAACTTTATCTCCCATGTTCAACCTGTGCTGTACCTCTGAGGAGCTCATTCCTGATCTTCTCCATCCCACTCCTAAGGAGGACGTGGACAAAAAGACAGGAGACAAAACTGCGAGTAGCAGAAATGAAGATGTTCTGCTACTTCCAGTTCTGTCTCCTGTCTTTTTGTCCGTGTCTCTGTCTCCAGACCATACAACAGAGCTGGTCTCACCACTGTCTTGTAAACTTTTCCTTTGACCTTTGCTGACACCCTTTTGTCACAAATCACTCCTGAAACTTTTCTCCATCACTCCATCCTGCCTGGACTCTCTTTTTCACCTCTTTACGACACTCCCCGTGTTCCTGGACAGTGGACCTTAAGTATTTGAAGTCCTGCACCTTTGTGACCTCTGCTCCTTGTAGCCTCACTGTTCCACCTGTCTCCATCTCATTCGCACACATACTCCGTCTTACTACGGCTGAATTTTGTTCCTTAAACACAATCGTAGATCTAATGTGCACATTTTGTCTTGATGTCCCATCAGCTCGTCTTTACGTCATTATGTGGCACAGGTCATGCTGTGTAAACCAGTTTTTCCAGTGACAAAACAAGGGTTTGTCTGCTCAGTTTAGATGCTCAGAAATGCATCTCAAAAATAAACAATTTCAAGTTTGTGCTTTTTAAATCTATGTGTTTTATCATATTAGGTGGACCAGACACAAACGTGACATGCTTCTTGGCATTTGAGAAGCTAAAACGTTTGCTTCCTGCAGTCTTCCTCCTTTTTACAAATTGCAATTGCAAAATGAGAAAAATCAATTGAACTTAGCTATTTTTAGGCCACAAATAGTGTTTGGTGCCCTGGAACGACATAAGATCATCTAAGGGTTCAGATGTTGCCTCATTGTAAGCTGCTGGCTGCTATTTGTGAATTTCCTTTGTATTTTGTGTTTTATTCATGTGTGGTATTATACAAATAATAAAAGCATTAAATGGGATTTTTTATTATTTTTTATTTTTTACAATTAAATGTACATAATTGTTTCTACAGCAGTGGTAAGTCAAACTTTTAATAGACAGGGTTGACCAAAGTGCTGTACATCTAAAAGGTTCAGAATATGCAAATGAAAGAGACAATAAAAAAAACAATAATGAAATATGTTTATAATAAAGCAGTAAGTGTCCTAAATCAGGTTAGTTTAAATACCAAATAATAAACAAGTTCATGAGAAACACCAAGTTTAATGTTGGTGACTTCCCGCTAAACAAGCAAGTATAATAAACTGAATTTAATATAAACATTCAAGGTAATTTAAACCATGTCGATAAAAATCACGTAAGACTATAACAACCCACGTGAGAACACGTTTTTAAATCTTATCTTGAGTGTCAAAAGTCTGACTTGTTTTGCGAAATGTTTGCGCCGTTATGAAATTTCCTACAGTTCATGAATGCAGCAGAGTGGTTCGCGGATGGAAGCAGCCAATCAGAGGCCGGGAAACATCAGCCTGCGGGTCAGCAGATGGACGCGCGAGACAAAACTCACCGGAAGCCTCGTTTTCTCAGGCAGAGGATCAACCGAGGACATCCCCACGGACTCCAGCTACAGCTTTAACTTACACAGAAACAAGGTAAAACAAACAGTTTATTGAACTTTATTATTTTTGATAAAAGATGTCAAACAAGCTGAACCTGCCACGCAGTAATTATAGACTTTTGGGCAATTACGTTCAATATGTTTATTTTAAAGCTGCGTTTTAATGTAATTGAACGAGTTTGCTAAACCCTCCTTAAAGCGGAGTCATAATGTTTTTGCCCGTGTCTGTCTGTTAGCAAAATATCGCACGAACAGCTGGACAGATTTTTTTAATGAAAGCTTCAAGAAGTAATCAATGGATGCTTTTCTACAACTGATTAACTTTTGGAACCAGCCCAATTCAAGATGGCCGCCACAGGCAACACATCTTAGAAAACAGAAATGGGCACAGTTTGGTCAGAGTTACAGATGTTGTGCTATACTTTGGTGTGGTAGTAGCTGAGCATACTTCACAATACTCTATGCTTTTCATTGCATAGGACCTTTGGTTAAATAATAATAATAATAAACATTAGCATTAACGGTTAAGAGTCAACCTTGTTAGTAACATATCTCTGACTAGATCTAAATGAAACATAAAAATATATATAATTGGATGTACCTCTTCATCAGTTCGTTTTAAGATGGCTGCCACAGCTGTATCAACAGAGCTGGCCATCACCCTGTCAGTTGTACAGATGTTGAGCTACAATCTGAGTCGTTCACAACACATGCTCTGAGCATGGTTTGACCAAAATGGCTACAACTCCAATATATGTTAATAAGACGACGTTAGTCTAAATTTCTGAATTGAAAGGCGGCGGGCGATATGCATTCTTTCACGGAAAGCTAGGCCTTTCAGCGTGTTGGTGATGTTTGACCCCTCTTGACAGGTCAGTTGCTCAGAAAAGTGAGATGATAGATGAAACCTGAAGGAGTTTGGGATCATTAAACCGCTCCTGCTCGGCCCTGAAGCGGTTCTGCGGTGACTCAGGAGCAACAACGGTGATCGATAGTGAAAGCGCTCCGTGCTTTCCCTTCGATCCATTTAGGAAATGACTGCCAGAGCCGCAGCGGACACTGTCGGAGGCAGCGTCGGGGCTTTCAGCTTAATGAAAGTTACAGAGATAGACGGCAGGTGCTCCATCTCTGCAAGAGTACAACACGGTGACTGCTGAGGTGGTAATTAGTGAAACTGTAACATATTGTGTCCCGTTTTAAACAATGTTTGCTCCTTAAAACTGCTGTCCAGTGAACATGTTCCTCAGAGGTTGTTGAGCATGTTGTTCAAGTCAGATTGATGTTTTCTTGTTGAATAAAAACTGATGCAGAAGCATAAACCCCTCCCAATGACTGATAGATCAGCAAACTGCTGTTTTGAAGAGTTCTTCTTTTTGATTATAAAAGATAAAAAATATCTTTTTAGATCAATTTCCTGTTATTTATTTTATATTTTTTATATATAAATTCAGTCAATTACACCAAAGAATGCTCCTTATTCCATGGAGCCCAAAAGCTTATTACTTGAAACCAGAAGAATTTGCATTTTTCAGGAAAATACAGCGTGATCCTTGAATGTTCGCTAAATATTGTTAAAGAAGCTAAAGTTCAACTGAACAGCAGCGAAAATTTGCAAACGTTCACTTTTAGAGTTGGTAATTAGATAAAAAATGCACCCACAGCTAATCATAGACAACAGCTAAAATCAGCAAAACTGTAGCTAGAATTTAAAATCAACAAGACATAGCTAACAGCTAAAAATAGTCAAACAATTGCTTAAACTAAAAGTAGCAATGCAGTAGCTAAAAGCTAAAATTACTAAAACTGTTGGTACTAGCTGAAACTAGTAAAACAGTAGCTAAAAGATAAAATATGCAAAACTTTTGCTAAATGCTAAAATTTGCAATACAATAGTTAAAAGCTAAATGAGCAAAATTGTTGATTAAAGCTAAATTTAGCAAAACCATAGCTAAAGGCAAAATTAAGAAAATTGTAACTAGAAGCTTGAATCATCATTCAACATCAAAACTTTGGCTAAAATCAGCAAAGCCTTCTCTAAAAGCTAAAATCAGCAATATTTTTTGCTAAAGGTTAAAATCAGTAAGTCAAAGTCAAATTTATATAAAAAGCACATTTAAAAGCAGCTGCTGTTACCGAAGTGCTTACCAATAGAATCAATGGCAGCAATTAAAGAAAAAAATAACAAAATGTAATTAAAAGCATCAAAAGAAAAACATAAAAACACAAAACACTGAAATGCTAAATCAGATCACACTGTGTTAGAAGTCAGTGAAAGCACGTGCGTTTTTAAAAGAGATTTAAAAACAGGAAGTGAAGTAAAATCATCCCTAATGCTAGAATTATTAATACAATAGCTGAAAGCTAAAATTAGCAACACAGTACTTTAAAGTCAAATTAGCAAATCTTTAGCCAAAAGCTAAAGTCGGCAAAACATTGGCTAAAAGTTAAAATCAACTAAACCTTTAATAGCTAAAATTTGCAACATCTAAATTATCTAAACTGTATCTCATAGCTAAACTTAAAACATTAGGTAATACCTAAAATCACAAACAATTGAGCTAAAAGCTAAAATCAGCCAAAGTGTAGTTGAAATCTAAAGATGGAGTAAAATAAGACAAAACCAAAGTCAGTGTGCTGAAGCAGATTAAATAAAAAACAGTTTTTGAAGAAAATGAAGAGATCTCAGCGTATTTTTATGGACAAATGTTTTTGTAAATAAATGTAATAATTTTGAAAAGTCTAAAAGTTACAACAATGAACGTTTCAACGTATGATTAAAATAACACAACGTATGCAGAAGAAGTGAATATTTTAAAAGGTGCAAAGAAAACAGGAACGTTTCGAACAAAATGGCAAGAAAAAAAAAAAGAACTGGTTTAATTTGGTATTTTTGTCCTGAAAGTAAATAGTTGCTGTTAATAATAGTTAAATCATTAAAAAACAATTACATTTACATTAAAAAAAATACTTTTATAAACCACAGATACAATTTGATTCCTAAAAAGATTAATTTATATGTTTATAAGTGACTAAACTGACGTTAGTTATGTGCAACATTATGGTGCATCATGGAGAAAAGTAACTAAAAGTAACTAATTAGTGTTTGTAAAGTTTCATGTGCTGTTCGAAGCGGTGAGTGTCGGAGAGAAACACGTGGCCCAAGTGTAAAGGTCACAGCTCCAACCCTTGAGCTGTAAAATTTATAGATGCTATCAATGGTTATTGAATTTCCTTCTTTTACTTTCACCACTAACTGTACTCAAGGAAAGTGTGTTGCTTAATCGCTGTGTTTTTATTGTTTATGACGATAAAACGTTTGCTGAGTGGAGGTTTGTGGTGTCGGGTCTGAGGACGAAGTCACTAAAGCTGGATTCAGGATGACACAAATGAGAAGTGACATTACATCAGGATAGAGGACAAGAACCTCTGACTTATTTAAACGAGTCCGTCCTCATGTTTAATGGGATAAAGACATGTGCTCTTAGTTCAAATGCTGGAACCAGCAATGTATCGGCGTCAAATGGTGAAGTGGAGTTTAGTGTTGCAAGCTGCTCAGATTCATTTATAAAACTGCAGATTGATGGCAGAGTTCTGATCAAGGTCAACACATTATAGGTCATATAAAAATGTTTCTTTTTGAGAGACGCTGTCTCACATGTGCATCCATCCATCCATCCATCCATCCATCCATCTATCTATCTATCTATCTATCTATCTATCTATCTATCTATCTATCTATCTATCTATCTATCTATCTATCTATC